GATCAAATGAATTTTTAAAAAAATATTTACCGTCTCTTAACCAGTTAGTGTTTACCAGTCCATACACATTTTGATCATCTGCTTCCAGGAACTGTTTCAATCTTTAAGGAAGACAGAACCAGGTAGGGCAGTGTGGCTCATACCTGTAATCCTGGGACTTTGGGAGGCTGAGGTGGGAGGATTGGTTGAGCCCAGGAATTCTATTTTTTTGTTTTTTTTTGAGACAGAGTCTCACTCTGCAGCCCTTGCTAGAGTGCTGTGGCGTCACAGCTCACAGCAACCTCCAACTCTTGGGCTTAAGTGATTCTCTTGCCTTAGCCTCCCCAGTAGCTGGGACTACAGGTGCTGACCACAAGGCCCAGCTATTTTTGTTGTGGTTGCCACTGCTGTTTCAGCTGGCGGGGGCAGGGGTGGTGGTGTTCCAACCCGCCACCCTTGGTACATGGGGCTGGCTCCCTACCCACCTAGCCATAGGCGCCATCCTGATCCCAGGAATTCTAGACCAGCCTGGGCAACATAGTGAGACCCCCATCTCTACAAAAAAAAAAAAAATAGCAGGATGAGGTGGCAGGTGCCTGTAGTCTCAGCTACTTGGGAGGCTAAGTGATTATACTACTGCACTTTAGCCTGGGTTATAAGTGACACCCTACCTCTTAATAAAGAAGGGCAGAACCCACCTTAGGAAGTCACGGGTGAAATAAAGCTCTTTCCCTGGCCAATCAATATAACAGACAAGCTCAGCGTGATGGTTTTGCCAGGGCTTAAATCAGGTTGTCAACTCAAACACAATAGGCTTTGTTACTCCTGTGTAAAGAGGAAATGGAGTAGTTTTTGTCGTCCTCTGACTGTATGCAGGATGGCAATTCCAGGCACAATCTTCAGGAGACACAAATCTGCTTTTAGCTATTTAGTGTTCCCCAATAAGCTAATCAGCTGTTTCTGAAATGCACGGAAGTATTCAGCATTTTCATACGGAAGCCCAGTCGCATAGCTTTAGACTTGGGGGGAGGGAGTGGGTATGTGAAGAAGGGGGTCTATTAGGGAAACAGAGAGCCCTTTTTTTAGCAAGAGATTCCAGCACCTGTGATTTATCTCAGAAATCACATTACACACTGTAATTCCAAGACATTTTTTCTGGTTCGGGCACTCGAGCGAGAGGGCTTGCTGAGACGCCTATTTGTTGCAGGTGTGCGTGGTTATCTTTGGGTGCAAAAATCCTCAGTAGGAAGCCCAGAGTAAATGTGAAATGCCTCCCTAAGAAATGCCTAACTGCCGAATGGGCGAAACAGGGACTGGCTCAAGTAGCAGCCAGGAAGGTTGTAGAGGGCCCGTGGGTACATCCTTTCGCTGTGAGGTAACGGTCATGCAAGTGGGTTTGGGGACTTTTGCTTTATGTGACAACTTATCACTAGGGGTGAGGGGGGACTATGTCAGAAGACCTAAGAACTAGAAGTGTGAGCTCTACCAAGTGACAGCACGCGTCCATCTATGTCCGCTCCCCTCCCCCTAGTCTCCAAGCAAAGGCGTCTCAAGCCAGCCCGTCCTCCCCCGCTTCTCACTCGTCCGAGCGGACCGAGCCTCAGCGGGAGCCCCGCCTGTCTCCGGGCAGCTTGAGCCCGAGTGCTAGCCCAGCCTGTCAGTAACCGACATTTGCGCTTTCTTTCTTTCTTTTTTTTTTTCCCTCCTCCTCTTTTCTTTCCCTTTCTGCCTTTGTCCCGCTTAGTAACTGGGCTCTAACCAATCACTGCCTCACCGGCCGGCACCGGCTATCTCCTGATTGGCCCGCTTGGGGCGCGCAGCCGTCTCCCGCTCCTTCTCCGAGCAAGGCAGACAAAAGACGCCAGCTCCCGGCTCCGGCAACCGGGATCAGCCAATCACCGCCCACCTTGCCTCTCTTCCCTCTCCCCTCTCCCTCCCGGCCTGGCTCGCGTGCTCCCGGCACTGACTCCTGGAGTGCAGCCAGCGCCCGGACCGTACCATTCTGATTGAGGCTGGGGGAGACAGCGGTACTGATTAAGGCCCCAAAGCCTAGAGAGCGGTGGGGAGAGTAGAAAGCCGAAGAGAGGGTGGCTTCGTTCATATTTTCTCAAGCATCTGACGGAATCCCAACACGATGAGTTGGGAGAGAGTAGAAGGGGCAGTGGTGGTGCTAGCTGTCACCCCTTCCCGGCGCGGTTGGGTTTCGCCTCAGCAGGGGTGGTGGAGCGTGGGGCGGGGGAGGGTGTCCCCTTCGCGCCGTTAAAATGAAACTCTAGTGGCTGGAGTCAGGGCAGTGCGTGAAGGGAACCGGTACCGGCGGGGTTGCTTTACATCCCGGCGGGAGCGCACAGCCGAGCAGAGCTGACTGGACTCTTGAACGGGCCCCAGTTCCGAGGCTGCTGCAGCTTCGGTTCCGCGCCCGACGGGAACGGAGCCCGAGTCCTGGCCCCTGCAGGGATCGCTTTCTGCCGACTAGTGGGACCCCGAAACTTGAACGCAATCCCTAACCCCCTTTTTATGCCTATCTTTGTCACTTCCCCAGCTTTATTCCAACGTGTTCTTTTTTTTTTCCCACCCCCTCTTCATTCTCCCTCCTCCGAAGGACACAAAAGTGGCTTCCGGGGAAAGATTTGGAGACGGTGGGAGCTTTTCTCTTTGGAGATCAACTGTGTAGAAAGGATTTTTGGGTACAGCTTTTAACACCTCTGCCATCAGTCCCTCAAACCTCTCTGTACTTCTCCAAGAACAACCCTTAGCTTGAAAGTTCGGGGGGCATTTTGCTGGGTGCACTAGGAGGAGAGAAGGGGAGAACTCTGTTCTCGTCCTGGTAGTTAGCTGGACCTGCACCGGCCGTTGGAGAAACCCCGAAGTACATTTCCGTATGGAACTTTTACAGATCTAGATATTTAGATTTTAAATACTAGATAAATATATGCTTTCTATATATTTCCTGACGACCTGCCCCTGACAGCGCGATGTACAATACAGTGTGGAGTATGGACCGCGATGACGCAGACTGGAGGGAGGTGATGATGCCCTATTCGACAGAACTGATATTTTATATTGAAATGGATCCTCCAGGTACTTGGGAGAGAAAATCTTGTTATGGGTCTTAGTGGTCCTTACCAAGACCTTGGTGATGTTTTCAGGGTAGAAGTATTCCTGGGTGCACTAGATTCAGGTTCAGGGGCAGATTTGCAGTTAGAGCTGCAGTAAAACTGCTTTCTGGTTTATACGTTTAAAGTTTGTAGTTAGGACCCTGATGCTATTGTCCTGCGAAGGTGGGGTGGGGGCTGGAGTGGGGGTGGGGGCTGGAGTGGGGGTGGGAGGAGAGACCCGATATTTTGGTGTGTGTTTTTTTTTAATTTCTTTTTTTTAACTTTGCTTGCCGTTGAGCTTTTCCTTGTGCCCTCCACTTTTTTCCCTTTTCTTTCTTTCTTTCTTTTTTTTTTTTTTTGTTTTAGAGTAGTCAAGTGCAGTAGTGAGATTTTTTCCTTTTTCAATCACAGTCTTTTACCTGCAAGAGATATTTTATATCTCACTCTTGAAGTCAGTCTTTCCCTTTGAGGAATTCGTTAAAGCTTGTCATTTCATACATTTGTCTAATTTGGTTCGTTGTGTTTTACCTTGGTTAACTTCTGAAACTCAAGATTCCTACGTGATTATTCATTTTAAGACTTTCGTTTCCCTTATAGAAATCAAATGCCGGTTAGTGATTTTTAGGGATTGGGCGTTCTTACTCAGTCTTGGTTTTAGTCTGAGATTTTCCTTAATAGAACATAGTTGCTCAGAGAGATCTATGTGCAGTGTTGTTTTACTCTTTAATTTATGATTATTTAACTTAATTAGTGGGCTAGGGTTTAATATAACTTCAATTCTTAGGGTGAAAAAAATCTTCCTCTTCTATGAATATGTGATAGGGTCCTATACACCTAAAGTATACATATACAGTACTCTTATTTTTATTTTAGAGCTTTGTCTGAGGCCATTACAGACATTTTGTGTCCGGTAGGAAAGAAAATGGAAGGGAAAATGGAAAATTTGGTGTTTCTTTAAAGTCTATCCTATTTTATGATTATTAGCTGTCAGATTTTCAACCCCCCTTTGCAATTACGGCTGTGCTTTATGTAATGATTTTCAGTCAGTAGAAGGCCTTTGTGACTCCTTGTTTCTGATGAAGATGAATTCTTTATGTCTTTTAAAAATATGGTGTAACCTAAGCCTACAGAATAGATTGTGTGTCATTAGGGAACCTCACCATAAGACTATATGTGCTTTTGGAAATATTTGAAAGGATTTGAGCCTATGCAAATGTAATGAAGTCTTATTGAAGGTATGTAGAAATTGTTTCCTGTGTTCTTGCAAACAGTGAATTACCCTCTTTGTTTCTTTTTCAATTAGTCATAGTATTAAATGATGCTGTATTAAAAACTAACATTGAATAAAATTTTTCACTCTTAATGATCACTTAGAATTTTTTTTGCTTCCTTTATTTTAGAGCCTTATTTATTTGCTTCTATAATTGTGACTGCAATCTAGATGCAGCTTTTCAGTGCTTTGTAAAGTTTGTAAGATTGCCACCCATCTATTGTGTGTTTCCCCCTTTGTTTCCCCCTAATGGTAAAGCATCACTTCTATTAGATGTATTTGTCATTCATATGAAAGAAAATTTAGTATATCACTGGTACCTTTCTTGTTTAAGGTTAACAATTCTAGATTCCTGTTATTACAAGAATTGTGTATTCAAACTGCCTTAGAATTATACTGTATTATATAGTCACTCGCCTTGCAGACATACAAAGGGAATTTGTTGGGTGGGAGGTGAATAGGGAGGAGGGGAGAAAATGAAGAAGGCACTTATGTTGGAAAATATTGGCCTAATAGAAAAATATTGGCCAAGTTGAGTCAAGTTGCCCAAAAATAATTTTAAGAAAGTTGACTATTATGACTACATGGAGATGTGGGTTTTATAATGTTGTATAGAAATTTCTGATCCAAACTTTATTTTCTAGGAAAATAAACTTTTTTTTTTTTTTTAAACTTTTTTTTTTTTTTCTTGCAGCTTTATTTTGGTGGGGGCTGGGTTTGAACCTGCCACCTCTGGCATATGGGGCTGGCGCCCTACTCCTTGAGCCACAGGCACTGCCCCGGAAAATAAACTTTTGAGTTTTAAAATATACATCCTTGATGAAATTGTGCATACTGAGATTCTATTGAGAATTTGGAAAATATGCATATGCTGTTCTTTTTTACCTATTTTGTAGCATTTATGTAGAATATGGTTAGTTATCCCCCACAGCTTTTTTAAAGGGAAGCATACTTAAGTCTGCTGAAACATTGCCTGTGAAGTGAATGGTTTTTCACAGAAATGTGAATGCCATCCTTGTTTTGTGTTATAAAGTAAATTTTTGAAAGATTTAAAACTATATCACTGGCGGGGAGAGGTAAAAAAAATAAAACTATCTTATTAGTGAAATGGTTGCAGCATGGTTTGTATCTGTCTTTTTCTCTAGCTCTTACCCCAGATCAAGTTTTTAACGCCTTATTCCTGTTTGTACTTGTGTGATAGATAGCACACTGTTTTCACCTGTTTCTACTCTGTTCAATCCATAGTAATGTTAAAGTATTATCTGATGATTTACCTTCAAAAGATAAATCTTCTAATGGCTTTTAAAACCTTCCAGTAGCTTGCCTTTGCCTAATAATAAAAACACCAGATTGTTACCTTGTCATATATGTCCTTCTATTTTTACTTCCAACCTAATTTTCCCTTCATTCTCCTCCTGGAGTTCATCAAAAATTCTGTGGAAGCTACTTTGTATTTGCTGTTCCTTGAATGTATGCTTTTTCGTCCTGGATGCCTTTCACTCCCCATGGTCACATGTTGAAATCTTACACATAATTTAGGACCCAGGTCAGATTCCTTCTTTGCCAGGATATATGTTTCCTGATCCCTTCTGTTAGGAGTTATTCCTCCTTCCTTTTCCCTCCCTCTTCTAGCATTTCTCAGGTAGAATTTCTTTTATTCTATCCAGAGTAGCTACTCCACTTTATGTATACTTTCCCCTGTGGAATTGTTTTCCCACCTGGTTATGAGCTTCTTAGGTTGCTTAGGGTCTTGAGATGAGTAGACGATTTAATCAATACATATTGAATTAATAAATAACTAAGGAACATCTTTTTTTCCTAGCCTTTAGGTGCTCTTCTACTTTAGGTCCAAGGTTACCTCGTTCCTTGGCTCTTGCAATAGCCTAGGGTTAAATAACTTTTGAATTAGACATTTGTTGACTTAGGGCCTTTAACTGTAATGGGGCCAGTATTTTTTTTTTTTTTTTTTTGAGACAAAAGTCTCATTTTGTCCCCCTTGGTAGAGTGTCATGGCGTTGTAGCTCACAGTAACCTCAAACTCTTGGGTTCAAGTGATTCTCTTGCCTCAGCCTCCCAAGTAGCTGGGACTACAGGCATCTGCCACAATATGCAGCTTTTTTTCTTTTAGACGTGGGGTCTTGCTCTTGCTCGGGCTGGTCTCAAACCCTTGAGCTCCTAGAGTGCTAGGATTACAGGTGTGAGCCACTGCTCCAGGCTGGTGCCAGTATTTTTTATACATGTTTCATCTTTTTCTTTTTTTTTAAAGACAGAGTCTCATTCTGTCACCCTGGGTATTATGCCATGGCATCATAGTTCACAGCAACCTCAAACTCTTGGGCTTTTGCAGTTATCTTGCCTTAGCCTCTTGAGTAGCTGGGACTACAGGTGCCTGCCATAACACCTGGCTAGTTTTTCTATTTTTAGTAGAAATGGGGTCTGACTGTTGGTCAGGCTGGTCTGGAACTCCTGAGCTTGAGCAATGCACCTGCCTTGGGTTCCCAGAGTGTTAGGATTATAGGAGTGAGCCACTGTGCCCAGCCTGTATTTCTTTCGTTCTTTTTTTTTTTTTAGACAGTCTCACTTGGTTGCTCTCAGTAGAGTGCGGTGGCATCCCAGCTCACAGCAACCTCAAACTCTTGGGCTTAATTGATTCTCTTGCCTCAGCCTCCCAAGTAGCTGGGACTACAGGCGCCCACCACAACACCCAGCTATTTTTTTGTTGTTGTAGTTGTTAGCTGGCCTGGGCTGGGTTCAAACCTGCCACCTTCTGTGTATGCTCTGTAACCACTGTTCTATGGGCGCTGAGCCCTAGCCTATATTTCGTCTTAAATTTTTTTTTTTTTTTTGAGACAGAGCCTCAAGCTGTCCCCCTGGGTAGAATGCTGTGGCATCACAGCTCACAGCAACCTCTAACTCCTGGGCTCAAGTGAGTCTCCGGCCTCTGCTTCCCAAGTAGCTGGGACTACAGGTGCCCGCCACAACGCCCGTCTGTTTTTTGTTGGAGCCATCGTTGTTTGGCAGGCCCAGGCTGGATTCCAACCTGCCACTTTAGGTGTATGTGGCTGGTGCCTTAGACACTTGAGCCACAGGCGCCAAGCCTCATCTTAATTTTAAGACAGAACCATAAATGTAAAATTGTAATCTATTATTGCCTCTAATGGCCTCAAAAACTTTTTTTTTTTTT